TCCCGGCTGTGAAAGCCTTCGCGAATACATGAACATGAGAGTTTCTGTTCAGCTACAACAGCTAACAGGTACACCATTTCTCTCTTGCTGTCTCTTATTACGTCTGCAAGACTGGACAGTGCCTGGAGGTGCACCATAAGGGAAAGCCAGGAAGATGCTATGCCATCTCTGGGCAGCAGCTAAATCATGCTTAATGAGAACACAGAAATAGGATGCAACTACAGTGGTGCCTCGCATTACGAGCGCTCCGTTTTACAACGAAATCGCTTTACGTTGAATACATGAACATGAGAGTTTCTGTTCAGTTACAACAGCTAACAGAGGCACACCATTTCTCTCTTACTGTCTCTTATGCCTGCAAAACTGGACAGTCCCCGGTGGTGCACCATGAGGAAAAGCCAGGAAGATGCTGTGACATCTCTGGGCAGCAACTAAAGCATGCTTACTGAGAACACAGAAATAGGATGCAACTAAATTAACAAAGAAGTTAATGGTTTAAAAAAAACATACCTTTGAAAACATGCATACACCGTCGTAATGCGAGGCACCACTGTACATTAACAAAGTAGTTAATGGTTCAAAGAAAACTGAGATACCTTTGAAAACATGCATACATGGTTACTCAAGAGCTAGGAAGCGCAGGAAATGCTTATTAAATTTGCAGATGACAGAAAATTAGGTGTAACAGCTAATGCTTTGGAAGACGTTACTCAAGAGCTAGGAAGCGCAGGAAATCCTTATTAAAATTTGCAGATGACAGAAAATTAGGTGCAATAGCTAATGCTTTGGAAGACAGAAACAAAATTCCAAAAGATCTCAACAGGCTTGAGCACTGGGCTGAAAACAACAGAATGACATTCATCAAGGAGAAGAGCAAAGTTCTATGCTTATGAAAAAGGAGCCAAAAAGACAGTTACAAGATGGGGAATATTTGGCTCAGCAACACAGCATGTGAGGATCTTGGACGATACAAAAGTTCAGCAAACAGAAATAGAAGGGAAGAAAGAAAGAAAGAAAGATTAACCCTTTCTTTCTAATATGAGATACCATTATTTCCTGTTTGAACACCACATATAAGCAGTGAGTGCCAGTGGAGTTTTTGAGAAACAAGTTCTTAAGCTAAAGGCATAACAAACCTTATTGAATTAAAAGTAATATTTCAAGCTGCGTGTTACAGTATTAAGTTCTGTATTGCTATTTTTCTTTTCATTCTATTATCTTTGTAACAGGTTCAGTGGTTAACAAACTTGACCATATGAACTTAATTGGTGCGTCTTTTTCTATACTGATGTTAAAGACAGACAGACAGACAGAAAGTTGAAGATATCCCCAATGATAGAACGGGCTGGCTCTGAATTAGGTAATGATGGAATTAAGAGAGAAGAGGCTATGTACTCTGCCATGTAAAGCAAAGAATACTTCTACTATTCAGTGGCATAGCAAATGGGAGACCTGAACTCCACTTTCTCCCTTGCCATGAATCTCAGTGGGTGATACTGGACCAGTCACATTTCCTCAGCCTGACCTACTCCATAGGTTGTTCTGAAGATAAAATGAGAAAGAGCAGAACAATATAAGCCACCATGAATTCACTACAGGAAGTACAGAAGATAAAAGTAACCAACAAACAAAGAAGTAGGCAAGGGAAGCTATGCTTTTTGGAGTCAATATGGCCTTCTTCATGGTCCAATTACACCACGACTTGCCAAGATATGAAGTCCCCACATAACAGACAAAATGTCTTTACAGAACTAGTCAGAAGACACCACATTTTTCTATCACATTCAGCATGTACATTTCCGTAACCATGCTTTAGATATAGGTGGTGAAGTTGNAGATTTGATTTTTTTAGCCGCACCATTAGTAATGGTCTCTGAGCGGCGAACTTTAAAAGTTCACCTGTGTAAATGAAACTCTGAAAGACGCACTTGCAGTGAAAGGGACGGGTCAATACTGCCATCTGATGGCAAAAACATGCATTACCTCCAAAATGGCACAGAATGTTTATTTAACTGTGTCTCAAACTAGACCAGTGGTTCCAACTTTTTTCAGCACAAGGCCTTCTAATGGTCTCTGAGCGGCGAACTTTAAAAGTTCACCTGTGTAAATGAAACTCTGAAAGACGCACTTGCAGTGAAAGGGACGGGTCAATACTGCCATCTGATGGCAAAAACATGCATTACCTCCAAAATGGCACAGAATGTTTATTTAACTGTGTCTCAAACTAGACCAGTGGTTCCAACTTTTTTCAGCACAAGGCCTTCTGTTTGATTGTTGAGACACCCTCATGCTTCCCTTTGTCCTTTAGTACCATCTAGCCCACTTGTAACAACTCATTCATAATTTAAAATTTGAAATAACTTGAAATAAGTTTAAATTAATTTTTGATATGAAATTTGAATTTTTAAAAAAAATTATATGTTGATCAAAAATTATTACGAAAATCTCCCAGTTTTTGGAATTTCTTCACAGTTCTCTAGGAGTATATTCCTCCAGCAGCTTGGGAATCAATGAAAGAGATGACTCACTTAGCAATGTGTTCTCAGGCATTGACAGACATCAGGTGTTGTCATACGCTGTACTTTTTCTTACTTAATATATTTTACATTTCAGGAAATTTCTTTTCTGATCGCTCATCAGACAGCCTTATTTTACAAGTCTGACAGCTGAGACACACTTGTCTTTAAAAATCCCATTTCCTTCAAGAAAACATAACTCGAGCAAAACTTTCATACTCCTTGATACTTAGTTTGATCCTGCAAGGTAAAGGTAAAGGTTCCCCTTGACAATTTTTGTCCAGTCGTGTCTGACTCTAGGGGGCGGTGCTCATCCCCATTTCCAAGCCGTAGAGCCAGCGTTGGTCCGAAGACAGTTTCCATTGTCACATGGCCAGCATGGCTATACACAGAACGCTGTTTACCTTCCCACCAAGGTGGTACCTATTTATCTACTCGCATTTACATGCTTTCGAACTGCTAGGTTGGCGAGGAGCTGGGACAAAGTGACGGGAGCTCACTCTGTTGTGTGGATTTGATCTTACGCCTGCTGGTCTTCTGACCCTGCAGCACACAAAGGCTTCTGCAGTTTAGCCCGCAGCGCCACCACGTCCCATTACAGTTGATCCTGCAACTTATGAAACTTTCCCATAGAGGTCACAGGGATTTCCCACTAGTGAAAGTGCCTGAACAGGAGGTTCTCACAGGCATTCTTCCCAAAAGGCCTGATTTTCAATGGCCTTAGAACCAGGCATTTCGGAAACCAAGCTGCTGCTAGAAGTCAGCAGCTTTCTTGGAGGACAGGATACGGCTATTCCCCCCCCCCCACTGCCGCCAGTGCTGCCACCGCCACAATCTTTTCCTCTTTCTCAGGCAGGGGGTGCAAGTCACAGCCACATTGGTCCTTATCACGGAATGGAAAGGATGGTCAAAGTGCAAAGGATTCTTCATGTCTTTCTTTAAAAGCATAACTATTTTCCCTCTTTCTCAGGCAGGGGGTGCAAGTCACAGCCACACTGGTCCTTATCACTGTCTAACAGGGCAAAGGATTCTTCATGTCTTTCTCTAAAAGCATAACTATTTTCTTTGTTTGGGGGCACACCACAGTGGCATGCTGGAAGGAGAGCTTAAGGTGTCTCTGTCGAGCATGCCTTTGAAAATAAAACACAAACACAACACTGGGGGGTTCCTCATACTCCCTAGCAGCCTCTTCTCTAGATTCTGGCATCCTCTAAATTTTGGCTCCCTTGCACTACCCTAATTGTGGCCCTGCGTATACCTGTGGTGCTGCATCTTAAAGATCATAAGTGTGTAAGCAATGAAAGGATTGTCTTGCCTACTGGAGTGTTATACTCTGCTCTGTGAGCCTTTTCAGCTGAACAGAATAAAAACTCTTTAAATAAAATGAATTAACAGGCACTTGGCTCTCTGGGTGACTTAAGTTGCATCCTTTTTCAGTCAGGTTTCCTCCACAGGACTGTCGTGAACATGAAAGAGACACCACCATGTAATGCCACCAGAGCTGCTTGGAAGGGAAAAATTGTTAAACAAATCCAGCCAGTTCTTAGCCAAGGACTGTAGCTCAATCATTTGGTGATTTTAAAAAAATGGCAGTGACAGACAGAATTCTTAGCATTCAGACAGCACCTTAACTATGCAATCCTAGACACACTTGCTCCAAAGTCTAACTGATTCAGTGGGGCTTCATCTTCATTAAGTGTGGTATAGACTGGACTGAAACCAAAAGCATTAACCACGTTTATACATCACTCTCTTGTACTGTGTACCCCTGTACTATTATGGCCATATTACAGGTAGAAACGCTGAGGAAGACCGCATTCTCTTTGTTTGGAATCACTTAGAAAGTCAGTATCCAACACCAAATTTGAACTATCATCGTAGATTCCAGGAATAAAGTTTTATTCCTAAAACTTTATTTCCTCAAACTAAAACTGAATTCTAAAATGTTTTCTTTCCAGTTTCTACTCCACACTAGGCACTTTTAAAGTCAGCGTCCCAGGTCCTCCGCTGTAAAAACCAGGTTTGCATAGCATACGTGTGTGTGTGTGTGTGTGTGTGTGTGTGTGTGTGTGTGGTGTGTGTGTGTGTGTGTGTGTTCCAGCTTGACAAGAGTTCATCCATCTTACCCGTGCTATTAAACTTTTTCCCCGGTGCCGCGCCTCTCTCTCTCTCTCTCCCGGGACCCCTGATCGGTTCCTCGGAAGCTCAGCAGGCATAGCAACAAAACCGCCCGTCCGCGTTCCTATGGAGACGAACCCTCCCTTCAGGATTCCTTCCCTCCCCCGTGGGCACTCATTCCACCCTCCGCTCTTCTGATTGGCCAGCACACAGCTCCGTTCCTGTACGTTAAAAAACTCCCGCCTTCCTCGGCTGCTCATTGGTTATTTTTATTTTGTCGCGCTGCTTTCTTGGGTTTGTAGTTCATACACCCCTTACATTCCGGGTCCCTGCGGAATGGAAAACTACAATTCCCAGCAGCGACGTGTGTGTCCAGAGAGTGCCGCGTAGGTGTTGCTCAAATGCAGATGGCGGAATGTGCCGTGAAGCCGGGCTTTTGGCTGCTACAAGTTCCTGCTTGTTATGACACTGACGGGCGTAGCTATTAAGGGGGGGGATCCCTAATACAGGGAACGCCATAAGGAGGAGTATTCCGGGCGCAGCCTCTGACTTGAAAGGCGTCCTGTCTGCTTTGAAAGGAAAAAGGCGAGGAGGTCACACACTCAAACCTGTGGCTGCCCATTGAAAGGCACAGAAGCAGCTTTAGGCGGTGTAACTAAGACTGAGCAGGATGATTGCTCTCTGGCCAAGGTGTTGGCAGCTGGCAGCTGGGAGGTGGCATAGATGGTTGAAGGGTGGGGGACAGGTGTGCCAGCAGCAGGTCAGCTTATTGGTGAGTTGCTCAAGTGGTGGAAGGAGCGATCCAGCTCAGCCCGAAGGAAGCAAGCTGAAGAGCAGTCGATCTGTCAAAGAGTGGTCCTTGACGGTCAGCCCTTTTGGCCTGCTGAAGGTTCAGCTCCCTTGCCACATGACCCTTTGCCCGCTGGACCCACACAAATACCCTGACGCAGACAGGGTGTTTGTTACCGCGAGAGGGGCAAACAACAGTTCAAGTCTGGACCGTTTTCATGTTCATTATGATGAGGTGCTAAAGGAGGTGATGATTCTCTCAGATGACGTGGACAGTGCCACCTCTGTGGATGTGAAGATTCCTGTGAAATTTGGTATGTGCTGCGGCTGCTCCAAAGAGGTGATATGACGAGGAGGCCTCTAGCTGACTTCTTTCTGTGTACTGTACTTTCACAGATTAGAACTTCGCTTTGAGTTTGGCCAAATACATTTGTGGATATACTTCCATCTTTTGCAGCTCTGGAAGATCAGTCAAGTGCTAAGAGATAGAACTCATTGATCTGGTGATACGGACAGCAGGGTAGCTGCATAGGTAAAGGTTCCCCTTGACAATTTTTGTCCAGTTGTGTCCGACTCTAGGGGGCGGTGCTCATCCCTGTTTCCAAGCCGTAGAGCCAGCGTTGGTCTGAAGACAGTTTCCGTTGTCACATGACCAGCGCGGCTATACACAGAACGCTGTTTACCTTCCCACCAAGGTGGTACCTATTTATCTACTCGCATTTACATGCTTTCGAACTGCTAGGTTGGCGAGGAGCTGGGACAAAGCGACGGGAGCTCACTCCGACGCGTGGATTCGATCTTACGACTGCTGGTCTTCTGACCCTGCAGCACACAAAGGCTTCTGCAGTTTAGCCCGCAGCGCCACCACGTCCTTAATACCAGCTACCAAGCATCAGAATCCTCGGTTCCCATTTTCAGTGGTTTTCAGTGAGATGCATGGACAAAATCTGAACCTTTAGTGGGCTCAGCTTTATAAACTCACCTGCTGAAGACAACTGCTACTCAGATTGAGGTAGCAGCGTCTCTTTTCTTTGGCTGCATACTTTATGCTGTGTAGTAGCAGGTGGATTGTTAGATTAGAGCTGGGGAAAGTAGTGTTCAAATCATAGTCTGTTACCCTATGACAATAAAATCAGTTAAATGTTCTTTCCAAGAGACCTCCTTCTCTCAACTTACCTTCAGTGATCTTTACCTTTTACAGCCTCACTCCCTGCTCAGACATCCATTGTGTGCTCCCTGCTTTCTGAATCCCCATCATCCAAAATCCATTGGCTCCCAAAACCCTGACTGACCATTTCTCCTCTCATCATCCCTTCTCACCATTCTTCCCAATTGCAGAGCCCTTTTCCTTCCCAAGTTCCCCCTCCTCTTGTTTCAGTCAACTCCCAACCAAAGAACGAGGACTTAATCCCTCTCTTGTGTTCAGGACAACCATCCTCTATACACACACATCCCACCTAAAGTCTTCTTGCCTTTTCCTCTCTGCTTCTTCTCCAACCACCCAGGCCTCTGTTCTCTGTCTCCTCCACAGATCCAGCTGGGACACTTCTTTACCCACAGCTGGGAGTCCAGCATCCTGGGCAACTTTCTCTTTCCTGGTTCTTTCCTGTAGCTTCTCCAGTGGGAAACAGAAATACCACTTCTGCCAGAGAGCCGCAGTGGCCATTTATAAAAACCACATGAGTGATTTTGATAGACACTGCTTCCCAGGGGGTCTGGCTTGGGGAGTCCTCAAAAGTTGGGAATTTTGGAAATAGAATTGCTGGTGGTGGGACAATCAGCATGTCTTCCTCCTCTTTCTTAAAGGGAGAGGCTTGGCTGCCACTCCCTCAGTCTTCTTCTCCATTTTGGATGAAGAGTACAAAGTGTACCTGCTAGAACCATGCTTGCCCTTATCATTGTTGGCTGAAGCTTCATATCAGCTTAATCTCCCTGACAAGTTTCTTGTAAAAAAAAAGATATGGGGAATCTTTACGGATGATGTCCTGAAGGCCTTGGAGGAAAAGCGGTATACAAATACGTATAGGAAAAATATGAGTGGCAACAATGTTTTATTATAAATATATTTTAAATATATTCAGTGTCCTACAAATGTTTATGGCATGTACATTCCTAATGTTTCTTTACATGTACTTCTTTGTAGTTCCTTCAGATTTTTGCACACAATGCCAGTTTATTTTGGAAATAATAGGAACCTGTGTCCTTCTGTATATTGGCCTGTAATACCAATTAGCCCCAATCAATTATTAGTGCTCAGAGATGATGGAAGTTGAAATCCGACAATATCTAGAAGGCCACAGGCTTTTCCTTTGCTAATACAGTGGGGTCTCGACTTACGAACTTAATCCGTATTGGAAGGCAGTTCTCAGGTCGAAAAGTTCTTAAGTCGAATCTGCATTTCCCATAGGAATGCATTGAAAACCATTTAATCCGTATCTGCTCTTTTCGTCCATAGAAACTAATGGGAAGCTGCTATTCTGCCTTCTGCCACTAGAGGGGGATATTTTTTCTTTTTTCCTTTTAACCTAAGATGACTTAGCTTTAAAAAAAAGGAAAAAAAGAGTTCGTAACTCGAATCTAAGTTCGTAAGTCGAGTCCATATATTCCTATGAGAGTGGTTCGTAAGTCAAAACGTTTGTATGTCGAGCCGTTCGTAAGTCAAGACCCCACTGTATGAGGGAACAGGATATGCTTTGAAATGTTTGTTTTATCACTGCTTCATTGCTGACTGGTTGAAATCAAACTCTATAATTGCAGCCCTGGAAGATCATTCCATTTATTTTCACTATTTAAAATTGGTTTTAGACTTGGATATCAAGATGTCGAGGAATGGCTGTGTGAAGGTTGAGAAAATTGAATGTGATCGCTGCAGAATAGAAGCAGAGAAAGGCGCGAGCGTCCTGCAGTCAGTCAAGGTACCTTCAGAGACATTCAGTCACTCATGCTTTTAAAAGCCTATTGTTTTTAAAAGCTACATACCATCAATGTGTATATCGTGTGTACATTTTGAGTGTGAATATGTCCTTGCACACTCAGTAGATAGAAAGCTAACCTGGCTATGCAAGAGTAAACTGATTTGGTTAGAGTGAATAACAGTTTCATTCCATGGTGGTTGAAACAGTGGCTGTTGGGTTTTATGTCATGGAAATCATTCTAAAAGAAGTTTATATAAATTGACATGCAGATGTTCCTATCCTTCAAAATCTATCTACAGAAGTAACTCTCATTTTTTTCCTCAGTCAGGTACTGAGTTGCCTGGCCATTTTTGTGCCGCTTCCTCCGTGTTGCTCAGCTGCTGCCACCAACAATATTGAGTTGCGGAAAATCAGCAGTCTTCTCTTACTCTTTACTAAAATCACATACTGTACCGCAGCCAAACAACTTGGTGGTTGACTTTAAATCACTACATTGTGGGTTTGAAGCAGGAGCAATGCTATCTCTTTCCCCCCTTCCTGCTTCCTTCTTTCACTCCCACTATATTTTTTCAGCACAGAGTGCCATAGTGAGACCCACTAGTGAGAAAACTAAATGAAGTTTCAACCCCCAGTGGATTATTAGGGAGGATAGTGCACCCCCTTATCTTGGGAAGTTGCCAATCCTGTTGCAGAGAGTTGCCACTGAAAGCAGCTATCTGTGAGTTATCTCTATGTATGAACTCTGTGTATGAACCTACTTACCCACCCACCTACCTACTTACTTAATATCCTACCTTTCTATGATACAGAACTGAAAGTGGCTTGCAATACATGTTTGAAAACAGGTTCAACTAAAAAAATGCAGCATCTAAAATCTTTGTGTGTACTTACAATGGCAGAAGGGAAATCGCTTAACTTGCTGTGGGAAATTGCTACTAATTAATGAGTTTCCACCTGGATTCCTCATTGAATGCCACTTGGGTAAGTTGGTACATAACCTGGAATCCAGGCAGGAACTTGTTAATTAGCAGCAGTTTGCTACTATGACTTATGCCATTGCCCTTTTGTTGGTACAACTATGCAGGAGGATTTTGGCCATTAAATCACAATATTAAACAAATGATCAGAAAAATGACACAAATAATTTAGTTTAAATCTATTTAAAATCAGTTTAAACTATTTAAAAACAACAACAGCATCAGCCACAAAACAACATCTACTGTTAAAAGAACAGTCATTTACCACAAGGTCTCCAGCTGAGGATAAAATCTTATATATATGGATGCAAGTCCCAGTGAACTCATGAGTAGAGAAGAATAAGAGTGGATATTTTCTGTTTATCAATAATGTAGAGTCAGTGTGGTGTAGAGCAGGCATCTTTTCCAAACTTATCAGAGTGAGGGCCATAACATATATGTTCCAGATTTTTGAGGGCCAAAGGAAGACACATGCACTCACTCACTCACTCACTCCAACCCGCCCGTCTACCTGCCTGCTGGGCCAGATAAAAAAGCAAGGCGGGCCGGATGTGGCCTGCAGGCCATAGTTTAGAGACCCCTGGTGTAGAGGATAGGGTATTGGACTAAGACCCAGGAGAGCTGGGTTCAGATCCTTGCTTGGCTTTGAAAACGCACTGGAGGTTGGAGCAATAATAGAAAGCCACTCCTTGAACATCTCCTGTATCTTGAAAACTCTACTAGTGTCTCTATAGGTCAAAAATGACTTGGTGGCGCATAATGGCCACAGTAATTTTGGGCATGGGAAAATTACCTATTATTCTGTGCTCTTAGTCCATCTGTGTCAGTGTTGTCTACATTATTTGGCAGCAACTATTCTGAGTTTCAGACAGAAATTTCTCTCAATTTTACCTGGAGATGTCGAGTATTCTGGAAATTCCACTACAAAAGTTTCCTGCAAAAGTTTCTTAAGTGTCCAGTTTGCCAGTCTTTTTTGTGGGAGGTCTCTGTGACGATCACCACACATCACTCATGCCATTCATAGTCATGAGCTGATTTGCATGAGCCTATGAGAGCGCTGGAGAGGTGGAGTCAGCAGCTATATGAAGGTTTGGCGGGAGAAGGAGGAGTCAGATAGAGATTGGGATGAGTTCCAAATAGAAATAAGGGCTGGTTAGTCAGAAAGAGAGGGAACAGATACTGAGTGATAAGACTGGTTAAAAAAATAGGTAGAGAAGGTGGTAATGATATTGCAAGAGAAAAGTATGTATGGAGAGAACTGTTAATGATTTGCTTGTGTACAATGTTTATCTGAAGAACTTATTAAATCTCCTTCACTTCAATAAATAAGTTCTGTTTGTATTCACAAGACTAGTGTCCTGATAAATGTCATTCATATTGTGGGTTGAGGTAATTCACTGGTGGCAGCGAGAGGAAAACACGACGTGAACCTTTGTGAGGGCAAAACATGCAGGTGTCACAAGGGTGAACACCACAGTCTCCTATGCTTCTGAGGGTGGAGGATGAGAAATTGAATTGTGGAAATCTTTCATTTTGCCTGCCATACAGATACAGTGGAACCTCTACTGATAAACTTAACCCGTTTTGGAAATGTGGCTGTAAGTTGAAACGTTCGTAAGTAGAAGCACCATTTCCCATAGGAATGCATTGAAAACCAATTAATCCATTCTGGCCGAAGAAAAATCACCAAAAAATAAAAAGAGCACAGTAAGCCCAGTTGGAAGGTGCTCCATTGCTGAGGCTTTAAGAAAAAAACCTCAAAAAAAGGTTTAAGAAGGGGAAAAAAAACTCCAGAGCCCTGCAGATACACACACACACACTCCTCCAAAGCAGAGCACAGAAACACCCTCCCTGCAGACACACACACACACTCACTCCGAAGCAGAGCCACTAACAACACAGCACAGAAATACCAAAACCCACCCAGAACAGTTTTTCTAAAGGAGAAAACAGGAGGTTACCTCCCTGCAGACACACACACAGGCTCACTCCGAAGCAGGGGGCTCTCCCAAGCCTCCAAGTGTGACACATCTTATAACTGCCAAAAGAGCTACAGCACAAAGCAGCAGCCTTGGCGCCACCTACAGTTAGAAAGTTGAATTGCCTGCCTTTTTTCCCTGCCTTTTTCTGTTAGTATCTTGAAGCTCCGTTCGCAAATAGAACGGAGCAGTTCGTAAGTTGGATCGTTCGTAGGTAGGGATGTTCCACTGTATTCATTATGGTGCTATTTTAATGGTGCAGCTGGGAGAATTAAAACTGAAAAACAATTATTAGAAAAATCAGGAATTGAACTTTTTAAATTGTGTTTCAGAGTCAGAAAATTGACATCAAGGCTAAAGGAGGGAAGGTTATCTGCCTGGGAACTCTTCAGGGGAACGCTGATATTCATGTGTCGCAAGGAAGTGTAAGTAATTTTTTAAAATACAAATTTTACATCAGAAGGACTGGGTTGCAGTCCAGAAAAGCCTGTCTGTAATTAAACTAATCAGTCTTTAAAGAACGAGAGTCTTTATTTTTTTAAAAAAGGGGAGGTTAGAACAGCCACCTCAAATACGATGTCTTCTGCATGTGTTTCACTATGACTGACATTGGCCATTGGCCATAATTTTGCAGGAGCTGCAAGATAAATTTCATTCTTTTCCTAACATAACACTTCAGGGTTTTTTAGTGGTTCCTGTTTAAACTGTTCCTTTCTTTTTAGATACAGTGGTGCCTCGCATAGCGACGATAATCTGTGCAGCAAAAATTGCTGCAACGCGATTTCGTCGCTATGCGATTTAAAAAAGCCCATAGGAATGCATTGAAACCCCTTCAATGCGTTCCTATGGGCTTCAGACTCACCTTTAAGCGAAAATCCTCCATACGGCCGCCATTTTCGCTGCCCAGTAAGTGAGGAATCAGCGCGAAAACACAGCGGGCGGCCATTTTGGAACCGCCGATCAGCTGTTAGAAAATCATCACTTTGCGATGATCGGTAAGCGAAACAGGGTACCGATCATCGCAAAGCGATTTTTCCCCATAGGGAGCATTGCAATGCAATCGCTTTTACGATCGCAAAATCTTCATCGCTATGCAATTTCGTCGTTAAACAGGGCGCCCGTTAAGCGAGGCACCATTGTATTTGTATTCTCTTTTAAGTTTTCATATGCCTATCCTTGTTAGCCATTCTTCCTGACAGAGGCCTTGGGACTTTAATAGCTGCAGTGCAGGCAGAATTTGCCATTAGTATAGTTATAATAAAAGGAAGAGAATTTATTATTAACAAGCCAAATACTTACAAGGACAAATTAGTCCCGTTAGATGTGATTATGGTTTCCAGAAGGGACTTTGAATGAAACATGCTTCTTATTCTTTCCCTCTAAAGTTAGATACATCCATTCTGCTGCTACATAGTGTTTTCTTTTTAAAAACAACTATTCATTCTCAGATTCCTGAGTACTGAGTTTAAACTAAACATTGCACTACTAGAGGATCAACTTATTAAACTTCTTAAATTTTGATTTAATGTGCAACTTTAAGCAAGCTGCTCCTAAAATGCTGTGCCATAAATTTTAATAGACTGTAGAGACAAGATGAAATGCAGTACGGATTAATATCATATTGTTAGGCCCGTAATGTCGTAATCACAGGGATACTAAAAGGAAACATGCAATTCATTTCTTTTACAAAAACAGGTACTAGCTTTTTGAGTGAACATTAGCTAGCCATTAAAACTTGAAGTACTGGATGTTTTCCAGAAGAGGGTGTCTTTAGCTTATTTGTTTTCTCTCTGCACAGCATGAAGATGAAACATTTCTTGTTGAAATATCATGTGACCCTGACTTCAGCAGCACCAGGAGTAATAAATATCTCAGAAGGCGGACAGTTAGCCATATTCCTATCCTTTCAAAAATGTGTAAGAGAAGAACAGTTTCACGAGCATCCTTAGGTTATTACTGGCAGGAATATCAGTTCCAGAGGCTTTCTTGGGAATAATTTAAGGTGAAATTGGAAGCACATAGAGATCATCTACAGCGTCATTTGATCTATCCCAGCCAGGCTGAAGTATCCAGAGACTAAGAAAAAATACTTCCCTTTCAGCTGACTTTGCACAGTAGATTCTGGAGAAAGAGTTCAGTATTATGTCATATGCATTTTTATTTTTATTTTTTAAAAAAGGAAAACAGCATTTCAAGAGCTATAATTTTTTTAATCTGATAAACGCAAATGTTCAGAGCACTGCTCACCAAAGTTGCTGCAGGAGGTGTTAGAATCTTCTAGGGAATTAATTACTACAGGGAATTAAACACGTGTATAATAAAGCCATACATATATTGAGAGAGACAGAGACAGAGAGAGATAATGTCACAAATGAGTTATTCCAATGCACTTTGAGAAAACCGATTTTACCTCAAAGGAAATTTACTTATTGAAAAAACTTCACCAGCTCAACTAATACACAATACCCTAATTCAGATTTGGTTTACCAGTGTGGTAAAGAGACATGTTTTACCAGTAGTAATAGCACTGTTGTTTGTATGGATATGGTGAAGTAGGAGTGTATCCTGGAATGTGAGCAGCTAAGAAAATAGAAATTGCAGTTTGTCTGGAAATAATTGCAACTCACAGCTGCAATTCCAAGCGTGCTTATTTCTAGTAAGTCTCGTGAACAAGGTAAAACTTACTTCTGATTAAACGTGCTTAGCTCCACATTGCCAAAACCTATTTTAACATATAAAATAGTACTAAAAGTATTCATAATTGGGCTGGAAAGATAGCAGATAGTCACATTAAGCTACCACAGCTCTTTGGTTCAAATAGTTTTGGATGTTTAGAGCTGGAATAACACTGCTCCTCTTATCTGCCAACCCCAAAACTGATCAGATGTTGTAATGTATACTGCTGCTGAGTATGCTTAAATGCAGTAAAAAATGCTTAATACAAATTGAAGCCAATATTTTCTGTCTGATGTCATCATCCTGCTCAAACGAGGGATGAAATGAATCTAAAGTCTGTAAAAGAGGATCAGATTCTGTCTCATGTATTACTTAGCAGCCCAAACTATGATTGTGTTTATTAAACAAATCTGTTGTGGCGCAAAAAACCTGCAAGCATTTAGCCAGAGAAGAGTGTGTTTAATCTGTCTCTTTGTAATCTGTGCTGGTATTCTATCTGAAAAAATTAAGTTTTCCCGAGAACAATAATTGGAGTTAATGACATCATGTGCAGGCAAATTGGACTGTTACTGAACTCAACTGAAAAGACAAAGTTTGTTTCAAGATTGTATTGTGGCTGAGGTGGTGCTTGGAGTTGCAGGTGTAGAAGAAGATTAGCAAGTTTTTGGCTTGCAACTTGATATATGCATTAGTTGAAAAAATAATTGCCGTGACAGACTTGGATACAGAAGTATGTTTTAATGAAAGCTCAACCTCACACCACTAATTATAATTTAAAGAAGCATGGTACCTTGAGGAATAAGAGTTTTATTTCAGTTCAAGCTTTCATGGATTACAATCTGTTTCTTCAGATGAATGGAACATGATAGTTAGTTTCCAGAATATATGGCAGAGGGATGGGGACTTGTATTACCATATTTTTTCTGTGGATAAGACACCTTCGTGTATAAGACACCCTCTACTTTTCTAACCCCAAATTAAGAAATCTTAACTTAGCTTTGAGTATTCAGCCTCTGGGCTCAGAATGCTTGAACACAACAAGTCCCTGTTGCATCTGAGCCTACAGGCTCCACCTCCAATGAGGTCTGTTCCAGTTGGTTTGTTCAGCATCGGCTGTCATCAGTTCCATAAGGCTCGTGATTGGAGGAAGCTAAGTCTCCTGACTGCAGGAAGCTAAGCCTCATGATTGAAGAAAGCCTGTATACAGAGGCAAGGTATGGGCAGTTTTGTTCTCTCTTCTGCTTTCTTCCATGTATAAGACGCCCCTCAATTTTTAGTGTAATGATTTTAAGAAAAAGTAGTGTCTTATACACAGAGAAAATATGGTACATTGGGGAAGTGGATTGTCATCCATGGAGGTTTACATTGAAATAAATAATTTTGTCATCAAAGTGCCATAATCCATTTGTTATTATTTTTTTGTTATACCTCCACCACAGGTCAAGCAGTTTAGGTGGCGTAAACCTGCATACACCATAGGGTTCTACAACAGAAAGTTCATAAGAATAGCTGGGAGACTTCCACCACTACTCGCCAGCATCTGCTGCCTAAGGCAGTTGCCTCACCTTGCCTTGTAGCAAGGACAGCACTGGTTGGAGCTGCTGCACAACATTTGTCTGTGTAATATTTATGCATGATTGCCCAGATTGATTCCCCAGCCCCATCAGTGACTTCCAATTGTACTGGAGTGAGAGGTATGAGGAAATGTAGCAGCCCCATGTTGAACTTAATGGATTGTTACGCCCTTTGTTTACTGACCTGGTTCTGTGGTAGTGGTCCACCTTCCAAGTGCTCTTTTGAAGAAATAAAAAGAAATGAAGATGACAAAAATCAAACTTTTAGCATATAATAATTCCCCCTGCAATAGCTGTTAAGCTGCATAAATAGTCTGTGTTGTGCTCATGCCTGTACGTGTGTCCGTTTTGTATAACTTTGCTGAAATCAGAGGAATTATTACTAAAGATTTACAGCTGTAGAGTTAGGCATCGGGCCCAACATGTTACAATACTTATCTTTCAAGCACAGTAAGAGGACAGCCAACATTTGGGGAGCAAGAAGTTCGGCATGCTTCTCAAAGAGCCATTTCTGTTAGCAATCAGGCTGCATTACATCTGCCATGTGGGCTTTTATTACAGTTTTGTTCCATTGGCTACAGTCATCATTATGTAGCTTAAGACTCTGTCAGCGTTTCCAGTGTAAACCAAGACTGTCAGAGGTTTAGAGCTCTGCCTTCTAATTCCCCTGGTGCTGAAGCTCAACACTGTAGACCAGTCACTAGAGCAAATTTTGTTAAAAATGGAGTTGAGGGGGGAAAAAGAGAGAGAGAGAGAGGAATTGGAACTAGGACATTTAAGTCTCTCAGTTCATTCAAATATTCCTCCATTCAGAATAGTTTAGTTTTAAATGTAACAAGTGTGATGAATCCAGATATCAGGTGGACAATAATGGCAGCTTTACACTAGGGCTGTTTCTCCGTTGAAGAAGAAGCCATCTCAAAGAGCCATTTCTAGAAGCGTTGCAGTCAAAGAATCATAGAACTACAGTCCTCCAACTTCTGTAATTACATTGTGCCTATTGACATGTTATGAGTGTACAATCTTGAATGAGTGATGGGAACGTGAAAATGCTACATACAGTAAGTCCATGATTTTCCAGTACTGATATTTGAAGCTGGTTATTTGAAGCCTATACATATTCTAAATGTAATGGATGTAATGGGGTCAAGTTGTTGCCATGACCTATGCCTAGCAATGGTTGAGAAAGGGGTGTTATACTCCATAGGTAGGTACAGGGTTTGGGGAAAATGCTTTTCTTCTTTGCAGAATCTCCCAGCATGCTTGCTGAGTAATTGCCAAGGAGCTTGTCTAAACTCTGCAGAGGTAAAATGGGTTGAAGGCCATCAAGTAGAGGTAGTTACATTGGTCAGACAATTCATTCTTCATTTGTTTCCAAGGACCCGCTGACAGTTTGTCTCTGAATGCAATGATGCCGGACAGCACTGAAATGGCGGATCAGATTTTAAATCAGTGCTGTAAATCAGGCAGTGTGGATCACCATCTTGTACATGAGAAAGAGCTGGGCAGAAAAATTAAAAGCACATCAAATGTTTTATGGCAGCATAAATAACACTTGAGCTATACAGGTCACAGTTCCGTTTTCTCCAGGAGATAAGTATCTGTTATAGCCTTTGTGCTGAAATAGCTCTTGGTTGTAGAAAGTAGTCAATAGGTAAAACATCTTTAGATTTTTATTATCTTGGCTCTCACTCGGGCTGCCTGCTGTGTTCTTCTACATTTCCTTCGAAAAGAACTTATCAGCTGATTTCCATCCACAGCTGTTCTGAGCTAGCATTTCAAATTCTCAGAAACTTTGAATGGTTTTATGCTGCCGACCCTCATCTCCATGCAGCCTTCCACAGAGAATACTGTAGGTTATAGAGGAACCTTTATATCACAGGTCTGCACTGCACTAACGTCACATGGCAGCGCTTTCGGGCTTTCTATACACCTCTTTGTTTCTTTGTTCTCCCAGCCTTTTCCCACACTTCTGTAATGCTTAGGCAACATCTGGTGCTGGGCACACTGGCAGAAGTTAGCTCTGGACCCAGGCCAAAGCAAATCCACAAGGCCTTGCTTTGCAGCACAATGTTATGCCAAGAGTTCCTGGGATGTGCCAAGAACAAACTGGCAGTTTCTTGGATACTCTCTGTTCTCGAGCACAAGGAGACAAACTGGGAAGGTGATCAAGCAGGTCAGAAAGATGGAACAGGTTTTAGGGTTCAGGCCTCTGGGCCAGGCAAACAACTAGGACCTAAACCAACCAAAATTGCTTGGATATGTTTATATAAATTTTTACCTGGATTTCCCATTAGGCTTGGTAAATAATTCCAACAGCAGTCAATCAGCAGCCTCCTGGCAAACATGAGTAGGACTGGGGCATTAGACCACACAAATCCAGAAATGTTGGACTGTCTTAAGCTCGTTTACAACCAGCAGTAGTTGGACACCAAACTAATCTAGATGGGATGCAGGGTTTTCATCGCACAAAATACAGAATGCGTCATTTTGTGATTGTGTTTTTAGACACAACACTAAAATGTATTCCCAGTAATACAAATTCAGTTTTTAAAAATGTATTACAACAGTGCAATTGTACTGTAACAGTACAATTTATGCACCAGCAGAGCTTCAACAACAACCAAAAAGAAAGTCTAAAACTCAACAAAGCCTGGCTTCCAGCACTGAAAAATACAGCCTGCAAAAGGTCAATGAACTCTACTGAGCCACAAGGACCGGTGATCACTGCACACAAAAGACTAGCTAACAACACCAATCAATCACAGTGGCAGACCTTCTCCTCCCCCCTTAACACAACAACACCCATAGCAAAAAACACGCTTATCACCATAATCACCCAATCTCCTAAAAAGGACAAAAAGCTGATCCCACAGCTACAAATACTCAACTATCCTTCACCAGAACACAGAGTTCTAACTCCTGTCCTATGTAGATGCCAGCCACAGAGACTGGCAAAATGTTAGGAAGAAAAACCTTCTGAACATGGCCATACAGCCTGAAAAACCTATAACAATATTAGTTCTATTGGTCTGTATTGTTTTTAGGAGGTACCCTTGTTAAACGCAGCAAAAATAAAAATCTTTTGGCATCTTAAATACTAACATTGCTTGGTATAAACTTTCATAGACTTTCAGTTCTTCAGATACATGGAGTAAGACTTCACTACACAGGCATTTATACAAGTGTAGAGATGGGTGGTTGTCCGGCAAGTTGATTTCTGTGATTGCTAAAGGTAGTTAATGGTACCCAGGAAGATTTGTAGCAGATACAGATCTTACAGGAAGTTTTTAAGACTTGGTGAAAAATCATTGGTAGAGGAGAAAGAAGTATATCTAAACAGTGCTCCTGACTGACTACGTATAAGATCATCACCTTACTAGACCACCTATCCATTATTCCACAAGTTCTTGTAAATGTTGTGTACTAACATATTAAACTGATTAAGGTATAAGAACTTGTGAGGTTATTGATTTCTTTGGGTCTGCCCTAATTTAGACTTTAGCCCATTGAGTTTTTCACCTCTTCCTGTCAAAATCAGAGCAACTGCTGTATGAACCAGGTGGATTCCAACAATACAGTACTTTGCCCATCCTTTTAAAATTGCATTAGCATATACCTTTTGCATTCTTGTTAACACCCCTTAGTGACTGTATCTCATTGCTCAGAACAATTGATCAGTGAGTTTCTCAACCCATCATGGCATGTTAACGTTATTATGATTATGGTAGTCTACCCATGTACAGATCTGCTTTCTGTATATTTGTTTGGTGTCTGTTTGAGGTCAGGCATAAAGAAACTACATGAGGCTATAGAGATACTGTTCTTACCTGTTAGTTAACAGATTGGGAGTGAGTCGTAGAATGTTGCCATCCTTTACTTAGACCTTCAAAGTGACAAATTCCAAATCTCTGTTTTTAATTATTGGAAGTATAAATTGATGTTTGAGTACCCCATGTGATAAAGTGCATAATGTGATGAACTAGGAATCATACCTGTGTTCAAATCCTGACTTGGCCATAAAACTCACAGGTAGGTTGACAGTACTGGTAAATCCACCCTATACGCATCTCATTTACTTTGAAAACCCAATTAGGTTCCCTGTACATTAGATGTGATTTGATGGTGCATCACACACACATTGGTAACTGAGAATATTACTTTTTATTTTATTTTTGCTGGTCACCAGTCTGAGTACTTTTGTGATTGATTAAAAATAGCTGTGGACAAGCTACTTTTGCCTTTCTACTTGTGATTTTATGTTTAGATAGTATTTTCAACCCTTCATGAGTAAAATGTATGAAGTCATCGCATCATCGGTGGTCATCGCTGAATCAGCATGCATATATTTTATCACAGTCTTCTGAAGTGTCTAACGGATACCTTGCAGTTTAGGCCTATAGCATATTTAAATGTTTAGTCTGTATCTGTACAATGGAGATACACTTAAACTTCTCCATCTAAAATCATGTTAATGTGTTCCTGCTTATTTTGCTTTTCTTTTACAGAGTGTGAATATAGAAAAGCTACAAGGTTCCTCCATTAACATTTCTACAAAAAATGGCTTAATAAAAATGAAGTATCTTTATGCAGAATCTTCATTTCTGTCTTCAACAGCTGGTGACATTTTACTGGGGAATGTTCATGGTAAGATAGCAAAGGACGTTTTGCCTACAACAGTTAAGAGCTACATTTATTTAGCAAATGCCTTTTTAAGGAAAGATATTCCTTTGTATGCCTCATCAAGTGCCTGCCTGTGTTTATAAAGCTGAATATTAGAGTGCAGTCATCTTTCTAGCCACTTGAGAAATTTCCAACTCAAATGAGATTTTTAAAATAACAGCATCACATTTATTAAGAAATATTGCCTTTGACCGGGGCTCTGGTCTTTTCCTGGTGCCCTGCAGAGGGCTTGAAGCTAAGTGCAGTTCAGTGGGGGAATGAGGCTGCAATCCTATATTCCTTTACCTGGAACTTAGCGCCATTAAGCACTTTGGGATATATTTCTGAGTATATATGCACAGGTTTGCATTGCAAGTCAACCAGAACTCCATTGCTGAGTTGGGGGTGTATATAGTGTTCCCATCCAAACCATATATCTGTGAAGATTTTCAGTCATCCAGGTGAGGTTATCTGGAAGATGAGTCATGGCAACTGGATTTCCTTCTTATTAGGTTGAAACATTTTGCTACTCATCCAAGTAGCTTCTTCAGTCTGAGAAGAGTTGGTAGGAGATCCCTGATATATCCTCCATGTTGGTTTCACTTCCCCCTGGTCTGAGTGATTTTCTCTCATACACGCACACCCCGTCCTTTGTCCATCTAACGAGCCTGTTCAGACCAGGGGGAAGTGAAACCAACATGGAGGATATTTTAGGGATCTCCTGCCAACTCTCCCTCAGACTGAAGAAGCTACTTGGATGAGTAGCAAAACATTTCAATCTAATAAGAAAGACGTCCAGTTGCCATGACTCAACTTCCAGACATCCAGACCATAATTAATCTGGTTAAGAATAAGAGACGTGACTAATTTCCACAATTAGGCATGAGATGCAGGTGGTGGATATTTCATCCTGCAAAAAGAGCCTGGTTTTGCTGAAGCCAGAGACAGTAGAACTGAAAAATCAGAACATCAAAATCAAAACGTGCAATCTACTTCATAGCAATACTTTGAAGTTGCCAATGACATCTTAGCAGTTTCCATCATTAAACTCAAGATTAGGTAAATCAGGTTGCTGGGCTGCCTTCCTTCCATCCAGGCAGTGACCAGATCTAGACCTCCTTAGCTTCTGAAAGTTGACTCCCTCGTTTGCTCTGGGACCACACTGAGGGAAATAGTGCTGCCTAATTGCATATTCAGTACACTTGGAAAGTGGGCTACTTTTTGCAATGTCATTGAATAATTCCAGGTAGAAAACAATAGCACCCCATAAGATTCTGATCCTTATTTAGTACATTCTTGGCATAATATCTAAATAAAGGATACCCAAATAAACTATTGTACTAGCAGTTGCTGTAATAAAAGTGCCATATAGGAGGTGAATAAAATGTCTTTCAAGGCTGTGGAACAAAATTTAAAACCTGTGACAACAGCCCCAGGAAAATACAGATAAGCTGATTCCCTGTGGCCATAAACCAACAGTGTATGGAAAACCCAACCGTCTGAACAAATTCCTGTGGCATAGCCTTGTTTTCTTTGTAAACAGGACCTATTCCTATTTATCACCGTGATCTGTCAGTGCCGGTTCAGTGTGGCCATTCTTCTGATGACAGGCAGTAGAATCATGACAAATGTCTCAAGCTAGTACTGCCCTCCTGAAGGGCCAGGCAATGCTGGTGTGCGATGGAAGTTGGAACTCTGTTGTGTATTCAAATTAGGCTTAAATCCATAAAAATCAGCAGGGCTAATGATTCTTGGTATAAATTGCTGTTATAATTATTTGTGACCATGCTGATTTTGTTGGAGACTTCTCCAGTGTTTGGGCTGGCACGGTAACCTCCAGCCGCTTCAGTGCCAGTTGCTCCACCATTCATGATCAGATGTCCTCTGTTTGGGAACAAAGGTTGTATCCCAGATCTTAGAAAGATGATTCACGTGAAGATCCATTATGTTGGTTTGGTGGTTGGAAGGTGGGTGTGCAGTCCTGCCAGTCATACCTCACCAGGCTCCTGCTGTGCAGACTTTCCAAATGCTTGAGGTAGCCAGTCATGGTGAATCAGAGCTGAGGTTTGTACTGAATGTAGGAACAGCTGTGCCTTTCCAACAAGTTTCTGCCTTATCTGAAAAGTTCTTTCTCCCTCTCCCACCCCAGGCACTGTGTACATCACCTTCCTTTTCATTTATAGCGAAGTGAACACCAAGTCTCACTCTTGGCTGTTATTCCAGCTTGTAGAACAGAGCCAGACTCATTGGGCGTACAGAGCCTTGAATAATAAATGGTTTTATTTTTAAAATCATGAAAGTACAAGCTATATTTAGTGTCTGTGCAGAACACTGTAGAACACTAAGAATAATATGCACGGTCTCATTCCGTGTTTCTAACTGATAGGTTCTTTTTATGGACAGGCATGTTTGGAGATATATAGATAGATATAGAAATAGATACTCACTGTTCATAAAAGCCAATTTGGAATGTTTTAAGTTAAACCCAAAACACAGAAAGCATGTGTGCCATTTATTTTGCACCCTAGTGCAAAAACAGGTTGTATTTTATTAAATAAATGTACAGCAAAAAGACAAACAAAATTGTATCCAGTTTAAACAATATAACTTCAACATTACTTCATATTTATATTTAAAATACTGTTGAAGGAATGTTATTGGAACTCTCTGAACTTCTTAACAAGTATGGCTTCTACAAAGAAGTGTTTGAGAAACATAAAAAATGAAATATACTTCTGAGTCTGCAATAACCTATATATTTAACCAGTAGTAAGCCCCACTGAGTTTGGTGGACTTACTTCTAAGCAGAGATCTATAGGATTTCCCTACTAATTTATGTTTTACTGGAAATGAAAACTATGTGAAAAAAGCAGCAAGGAAATGAGTGGGTCTTATGTACATACATGAGGCTATGTAAATACACACATATTTCGTACTGTAATTCCTTCTAGTTGATGAGCTCCAGCTATGAAAAGGATACATTTTTGTAGGAGTGCTTCATTTAAAAAAAAAATTAAACATAGAATTTTTATTGTTGATGAACTCATGCTGGAACATTCATTTGTGTGTAACCTTTTTAAAAATAGTTCTCAACCACCTCATTCACTATATAAAAGTTTAGCTCTCTGGGTGTGGATCCAGAGGTTGGGAGTTCCCCACTGGGCTTCCTTGACAGAAGTTGGACTCGATGGTCCATAGGGTTCCTTCCAGCTCTGCAGTTCTAAGAGGATGATGATTTATGTAGGTTGCACTTCCATGTTAAATACATCTAAGCAGAATGATGTCCTAATTACTTCAGTGGAATCTAGTTTTCCATGGAATATTGGTTAAGGAGCCTTTTTTTGTTGTTGTTCTGGGCTGTGTCATGTTTGATCATTTTTAGATCAACCCCAGAGCATCAATTTGTGTATCAGGGTTGTGTAGGTTTGTCCCACAGACATCGTGTTCATATATCAAAGGATCTCATGCAGAAAACATAATGGAACCTTCTCTCTTTCCAAGCCAACCTCTCTATGCATGCACAATGGATATGCACTGTGTATACCAGGCTGCTAAGGAGTTAGTGTGCAACATCCATTAACACCAGCCAATATTCCCAGAGGAACGTAGCTCCAATAAGTCCTGGCTGGCATTTTTGAGAAATTATGAAACATGTAATAGTTCCACAAACCTACAAACCCTCCTCCTTGGTTCATTTCTCACTCGTGCTGTGCACAGCTGAGTAATTTTCAAAACTACAATGGAGAAGATGGCATAGTAATGCCATTTTTGTGCCATTTTTGAACTTGTTCCCCAAAAGTGTCAAGATAGAAATGCCCTAAAGCAGACTGGCATCTGTATACAAAGACAGCTGTTTCCTGCTTCCATTTCCTTGTGGTATGAAAAGAAAATTTGCAGGCCTTCCAAATGCCTTTTGTACTAGTGCTGTCTTGAACAATGCCAGCTCTAATCTTGGAGCATTGCTGCAGTTCTTTCTCAAACTGAAGAATCTCCTATACAAGGCATCTCCACAACCTTTTAGTGTATATATGCATTGTGCTTTTGTACTTTGCACACCAAGCTGTTAGGAAGAAAGACCTGTCATATCCACAACCAACTCTCCTTTCTGGTTAATCGCAAAATGCAAACTTGGGGCATGTTTTCATTTTATGTTGGTAGTGTGGTTGTCAACCATGTACAGTACCTGTATGTCATAATCCAGGAAGGAATCAGTCTACCTCTCTTAGAGTTGGTGTTCATTAGAAAATTGTCTTGACCAATATGCAAGCTGGCCCGTATTATACCATATTGAAATGCTTCATTTTTGGCTCCGGATACTGCAGTTAAGGAGTGGTTTCACTGACTGTGTGCATCAGAGAGCTCCTAAGACCTGTCTGCTGTGGTCCAAAGGACATGGATGGGTTTTTTGAGGGGGTGGGTGCTCCTCCAGTTCAAGAGCACTTAATATACAGTGGTGCCTCGCTAGACAGTTACCCTGCATGACAGGTTTTTGCTAGACATTGACTTTTTGCGATCGCTATAGCGATTCGCAAAACAGTGATTCCTATGGGGGAATTTCCCTGGACAATGTTTGGTCTCTGCTTCGTAAACAGATTTTTGCTAGACAACGACTTTGACAGCTCCCTCCGTTCTTGCAAAATGGGTGTTTTCGGGACCTAAGCTTCGCAAGACAGCTATTTAAACAGCTGATCAGTGGTTCGCAAAGCGGCTTCGCTAAACAACGAAAATTCTCCCCCATTGGAATGCATTAAACAGGTTTCAATTCATTCCAGTGGGGAAATGCTTTTCCAATGGGGAAATACTTTTCGCTAGACGATGATTTCGCTAAACAGCGACTTCAGTGGAACAGATTATCATCGTCTAGCGAGGCATCACATGTAGGTATATTCTCTGGTGATATATCCTCTTCCTCATTGGTAGATATATCCTCTTCCTCATTGGTGAGCTGAACCAATGCTTTCTGCTTCCTTTTGGGATCCTTGCTG